TTTTTTTTAACACGGAAAATGTTGCAGATTAATTTCTTTAGGTAAACCAGTGCATTTCTATTCAAATCAATGGACTCTCTTAGATTGCAAAACCATCCAACACCAAATCTGCTCCCCATGGTTTTGGATGTATGCCTCCTCCATCTCTCAAAGCCCCAAACATCTCAGAATAAAGAAGAAAATTCAGACCCCTTGGAAATAGATGCTGGTGCCCACTGTTAACCCTTCAGTTATTTACAGCTGCTAAATTCCTCAGATTTTAGAGTCACTTAAAAAAGTGTAACTGTTTCAATCCAGTATATTAAATCACCCCATAAAACATTCTGGACTCAGTTTAATCTAATCTGAGACGCTGCTTTATCAAAGGCTGTGTCGAGTAACTGGGGACAGATTAGCCTTGTAAACTCTACACACCATAAGGCACCATTAAATTGCCTTTTAAAGATGATATGGCTGAAGCAGTGAAAAGACAGATTGCCACAGTCTATAGAACTCGGTTTGGCTCTAATGGGAAAACCCAAAGTTACTTCTCCATTTTAACTGCACCACCTCAGAAATACAGCAGAGGAAACATTTACCCTTTGCACTGACACACAGGTAGCAGGGACCAGGTCTGCACTGCACATTTGAGATGAGCTTTACTCTTGAACTCTGGCCACCAACCTACTTCAGGTACTGGGTCAAAAAAAAGCAAGTTGAGCACAACTCTTTGATTGGGGGGGAAAAAAACCCAAACAAACGAAGGCAACAACAAATGAGGGGGCTGCTACCTTTCACAGTTGGTTTTAATAAGTTTTATCTCACCTGAGGCCAATGTGCACCTCATGAAACACTTCATTAGGGGTTATATTGGTGATCTGAACACAGCAAAAAAACCTACCAAAGAGAACAGACTACAGCCTCCTGTGAATCTCCAGCATAATGGGTAAGAGCTGTCCTTAAATCAAGGTGATAAACAGGGAAGCAATGCAGCAGGTACTGGCCTCAAGCTGTATTTGTTATCTTTCACCTGACAGCAAAGTCTATCTCTCTGAAGATCTTTTCCCCTCATCTCCTCTTTTCAGCTGATACTATTCTTGCACCTTCCAAGCAAGTAATCAGGCTTATTATTTTTCAGAGAGTACATTGGGCCGGTTACCTGCTAAGCACAGAGCCTCCGGAAGATTAAAAATGTGCACGTTGAGGCATGCAGGTGTTTAAGCAGCACCCTCACTTTCCAGTTGAAACTAAAGGATGACTGGATCAACACTACTAGGATGTTCTGTTCCTGGGAGCCACATCTGGGGTTGAGTTTAGGCTGTCATTTCATGGGCAGAGAGCGGAAAAGCACATCACACTTCAGTCTCACCTGGGTTACAGCAAGTGTGAGTGCTGAGATGCTAAGAAAGGGCTCCTACACTATTCTCTCACTGCATCTGAACAGCTGAATTGACTCCCTTTTGTTGATTCCCAGCAATAGTTCTGTTCACAAATAATTTAGGAAGTGGTAACGCATGATCAGTTGATGAGAGGCATCACAACACAGTATATTCCTAGAAGTGATGGTTAACAATGCTTAGGAACACATCAGACAAAAAAAAAAAGAGATGATGTAGGTCTTGTGCCACTGCAGAGACAGTTCTACATCTCATGGTGTTCAATATGTGACAACCACAGTATCATCAGTTCAGTTTGGTACTTATGATTTGTAAGTTTTAATACCAGCCCTATCTATTATTGACAAATATTGCCTCTGTAAGTAAGACTTCTCTAGTCCACCTTCTATGCTTTTTTTTTTTCCATTTATATGTCTTGGTCCACAGTAATGACTGAACCACTGATTAGTTGGCACAAAAGACTTATTTCACAGAAGAAGTATCTCAATATATTCCCTGCAAGTTTAGTGAAAATGGGATATTGAGCAGAAAAGAGGCAGCTCCTGCTAATACACCTCACTGAGAAGGCATTAATTAAAACTGGAGAGCCTACCCCTTAATGGAACTGGGGAAAACACAGAAGA